TTTTTTTTTTTTTTTTTTTTTTTTTTGGCGTTTGGTACTGAAGATTGGTCACTGTAAAAGGTAAGAGTGAGTGCATCTTTCTTCTGGTTGTTGGGTGCAGGTTTTGTTAGTTATGACTCGCAAGCAGCCGCTCAGAACGCTATTAACATGATGAACGGTCGCCATTTAGGCGGTAAGAAACTGAAAGTCCAGGTTAAGAGAGACAACAACAATGGTCAACAGAGTAGTTAAAACTCCTTAAACTCTCCTCAACTACAGTTCATGACAAGAAAAACAAAAGGTCGGGCTAATGGTTGACCCGTTTCAAGATTGGGTCTAATCTTGAATGGATGCATCTGTCTATAAATCCAAATCTCTCCAATCAAACCAAAACCTGTAACTTCTTCCTCTGCAAATGGATCATCTTTTCATTTTTATTTTATTTCTGCAAATAACAGTTTGTAATTTATGCATCACTAAAATTCATGTAGACATTATATGATTTATTAACATTCAATTCATTGAGTTTTTTTTCTCTTTTGTTTTAAATTATGATTTGATATCTATAGAAGAAAGTTCAGAGTTTCAAAACTAAAAAAGCGAGTTCATGTTATATTTGCTACTATGGTGGATAAAATATTTATAAAATTTGATTCAATTAGTTATCATCTTTCATTCAAACCGGAAAAATCTAAATATCCGTATCTACGACGCAAAACAAATACTAATATACAATTATCCGTAAGAAATGAAACAATACTAATATTTTTATGAATGGATATTTGATCCGATCTATTATATGCATATATATATACATATATTTTTAAAACTATATAATTATTAAAATTTAAGTAAGTGTTGCAGTATTTTATTTATTAAAGTTATTATTTTCGTTATTAGAATTTTAAAAAGTAAAAAAAAAAAATTTGTAATATTTTATTGTTCTTTTATATTATTTTTGACTTTTTATTTATCAATTTTACTTTTATTTGTACTAATCAAATGAGACATCTAGTTAAAAAATTAATATTTTCAGAATATCCAACAACAAAATATTCTTGTAGCATGAATCAAATTAGATAACTACTATTAAAACAAAATGGATCGGATCACGAGTACCTAGGATATCCAATTTGTGTCAACCTTACTTACTACAACAAACCAAACATCACAATACAAACATAGAGAAAGACTACAAGCACATTCAACAGAAAGATTCAGCCTTCTTCAACCAACATTCCCTAAGGACGCAAATTGGAAATTGGAAAGATCAGACTCTAGAACCAACATTCCCTAAGGAGCCTAACAAATTGGAAAAATAATCTCTGATTTGATTTACAAACACAACATGTTCGCTTCATTCTTCTTGTTGCAAAATAATCTCTTAGGGCTTGATTGGTAGAGCATTAGCATAAGCATTATGCTTTCTATTATCCAATCATTTTTTTTTTGTTAAAACGTTAATATCATATAATATGAAGAAATGAGCTTACAAAGTTGTAATCCTAAAGACAACACTTCCAAGGAAAAAAAAAAAAGAAAAACAAGGAAGTATTACAGAGGTTGTTACATGATTTCTAATTCAAAGGTTACTCAAACTTAAGCCAAGAAGACAAGAGAGTGTTGTAGTTTCTCCTGCTTCTCCTGCCTAAGAGAGTATTTTGGACCTCTCGATCAATGATCCTGAAAACCGTGACCGGAGGAATAAGAACCTGATTATGGAGTATATTATTTCTCTGACGCCAAATATGCTAAAGAGTTGACTGGATAACAATTTTATTTAAAGTGAAAACTTTTCCTCAAACCGGTTCTTTTATCCATGAGAGAAATTTTGTCCAGTTCATAAAGAATAAGTTAGGGGACACCAATCCTGGCAGGATATACCTCCAAACTTCAGCACTGTAGCCACAAGTGAGAAGAATATGATCGCGGGTTTCAATTCTAAACAAGCAAACAGGGCAGTACCTGTCATTAATGAATCCCCATCGTTCCAAGCGGGTTCTCAGAGGCATCCTATCTAGTTGGGCAATCCACATATTGAAAGCGTGTTTAGGAACACACCCTGAAAACCATATCAGCTTTGACCAATCTTAGGGAGTATCACACCCCGAATACCATATACCATACCTGTCAACATTACTTATCAGAGTCGGAGGGAGAACCGTAGTAAGGGTAAGCGTGGAGTAGGACCCGTTATCTGATTTGGGGTGCGGCAGGTTCCAAGAGTCTTCGGAGCAATATCCTGCAACAGATGAGTACAATGGTATACGCAATCTTCTTGGACCATCATCCCCCAAAACATTTATTAAAGGACCAAGAAGAATCCAACAATCATTCCAGAAACTAGCTTTTAGGCCATTACCCACTTTACATGTAATGAATGGCTCAGCTAAGGGGCACAATTTGAGGAGAGATTTCCACACCCGAGAATCTGTATCTGAAACCTGAATTGTCCAGAAACTATTGTGGCTCAGGCTGTGAAACTTATGCTAAGAAGACCATAGAGAAGCTTTTTCTGCGAACAAGAACCAGATGTATCTAAGACAAAGAGTGGTATTCCAAGCTGTTAGTCTCCTTAAGCCTAGACCACCTTCTGATTTTGGGAGGCAGGCATCGGACCATGATACTTTGGCTTGCCCTCTAAGATCAATATTTCCAGACCAAAGAAACCTTGCACACATAGACTCAATCAAGCGAATGCATACTTTAGGCAAAAAAAAAGTTGAGAATCAGAAATTTATTGTTCCCATAATAAACGAAGACATAAGCAGGTTTCTTCCTGCGAATGATAATGATCTCACTGTCCATGATCTGAACTTTCTATTTAGTTTGTCTAGAAGAGGCTTGTCTTCTGAAATCTTTAACTTTCGGGACATAAGAGGGAGACCAAGATAACGGATTGGTAATGAACCAGCTGTGAATCCGTAGCTTTCCATAGCGTTTGATTCAATCTGGTTCACTCCCGCTGTGAAGAGCTGAGTCTTTGCCGCGTTTATTTTCAGACCTGACGAAGATGCGAAATCATCTAAGGCCTCATTTACTCCGTTTAAAGAAGAGCTTCCACCATCAAACAATATCATGACATCATCTGCAAACATAGGTGTGTAACCTTTAGCTCAACCGTTCTTGGGTGGTAGTGAATATAGCCTGCCTCAAACCTTGAAAGGGGCAGGTTAGAAAAGGCTTCCATGGAAAGTACAAAAAGATAAGGAGACAATGGATCACCCTGTCTCAAATCCCTTGAGCTTCTAAAAATTCCCTCAGCACTCCCATTGATTGAAATTGTAAAGAATGGGGTGCAAATACATTTAGAGATCCATTTGATAAATTACAGTTGAATATCTAATGCCTTTAAAGCTGCTAACACGAAATCCCATCTGACAGAATCGAAGGCTTTCCTGAGGTCAACCTTTAGCATGGCCGTCGGTTCACCATCTGATCTATTGTACCCTTGAACCAGATCTGTCGCAAGTAGGACATTTTCTCCCAAGAGCCTATTAGGCAAAAATGCAGACTGGTGTGGCGATATAATTTCCATAAGAATAGATAGGAGTCTTAATGCTAAGAGTTTGGATACCACTTTGTATATGGTATTCAGACATGAGATTGGCCTGAAGTCAGAAGTTGTGGAAGCATTGGTGATCTTAGGGATTACAATCAGAGTGGTCGCATTCCATTGTTTGAGCATAGAACCTGAAGTAAAAAAAAAGTCTTCTATTGCTTCACATACTTCAGAGCCTACAATATCCAAATCTACCGAGTAGCCGTCAGGTCCGCATGTCTTATTATGGGCTAGGGCGAAAAAAAACATCTTTGATCTCCGCTCTAGTAAATGGCTTTGTGAGGGTACTTTTTTGAACATTACTGCACTTATTAGGTAATAGCAGATCCATATCCTCTTGAACAAACATTATTGGCTCTTCTACTTCGCCAAGGAGGGTGGAGAAGTAATCAATACAGTGGTTCATCACCCCTGATTGAGAATCAAATCTCTCCCCTGATGGTGCAATCAAGTAATGAATGTGATTTATAACTTTCCTCATGTTCATCATTTGGTGAAAATAGACAGTGTTGCAATCTCCACTTGTCAGTCCTTAAACTTTGGATCTTTGAAGGAAGAAATTCTCCTCAGATTTAACAAGCAAAAGCCCCTTTCTTTGCGCTTCAAGCTCTAGAGTTGCATTCAAGATCGAGGGCTCTGACATCGTCTCAGATTGGTGTTGCAGAAGAATTTCATGAAACTCCTTAACCCTTTTTTCATTTCCCGAGTAGTTTGATTTACTAAAATCTCGAATTACCTTTTTCAATAATTTCAGATTTTTGGCAAGACGAAACATCGCAGAATTTACAACATTGAAAGAATACCAATGGTAACAGATCATCAAGTGAATATCCTCATTTTTCAGCAGGAAGTTATAAAATTTGAATGGAGATTTCATGTGGTTAGATTCCAAATCAAGGCTCACTCCCATTGAAGCGTGATCAGAGAAATATCTATCTCCGTAAATGGCGTATGATGAGGAATAGACAGAGGACCAGGCTTCGTTGATCAACACTCGGTCTAATTTCTTTGCAACCGGTTGGAGAGAGTTTAAATTCCACCAGGTAAAATCACTTCCCCGGTAATTGAGATCATTCAGCCCCGTTAAACGAAGACAATCTCTAAAGACACAAGTATTCATGTCTACATTCTCTGTGGTAGCTGTTGAGTACTCCATAGGGTGTCTGATTTGGTTAAAATCTCCCATTACAATCCAAGGCGTAAAAGAAGTGTCACAGCTTTCTAAAACTTCCTTAATTTCCTTCCATAAATCATTTCAGGCCTCGGAAAAATTAGAAGCATATACAATGGATACTACAATCCATTCTCCAGTGCCATGCAGCAAAATATTACAGGTAATCATCTAAAGGGACTTCTTGATGATAGTAACTTTGACACTAGGGTGCCAGATAATCCAATTTTTTTCCAACTCCAAGAAGTCATAGTTGTCATCGTAGAGCCAACCTGGAAGGACCTGAGCTATGAACTTCTGATTCTTTGGTTGTTTCACGTGAGTCTCTATGATTCCACCAAAAAGGTTTTAATGATTCTTTATCCAATATTTAAATCCGCATCGATGACTTGATATATTGAAGCCTCTGACATTCCAGCAAAAAAGGTTTGTATACATTAAAAACTATGGGGAGTTGGGGCCCTTGCCCCGTTTGTTCTTCTTGTTTTTTTTTTTTTTTTTGGAAGCAACTAGTGTAAA